AGTATAGGTTAGTTCTTTGTGTGACAATTGTCATTTTGCACCTGAAGAAGATCCTCCCTGTCCAAAAGCATTGTTTTTTTCCAATTGTCAGCAGGTCTTGCAGAATGACTATATTTCTCCATGCATTTCGCCTTGCTTATGACCTCAGGGCATCATGAAAAAAGGTATTATTTATAAAATGTAAGAACAGCACCCAAGCAATCAATCAGGCCACATGTTCAAAACTTTTTTTTAAATGTGTAGATGTATCTTCCACACCCAGCATGCTGATTACATTGCACTACATGAGCTAAAGGAAAACTACTTTTCTAGCTAGCCAAGTGCCATCAAATACATGTGGAACCTATATGAGTCTCGTAACGTGTTGAAAGCACTTGTCAACTGTGCCTGGAATGACTAACAATGTTCAAGTAGAACAAGAGAAAAGGCAGGAAAAAGTAAAACAGGCTGGAAAACCTTCCTTAACAGGGAAAGTTTTGACTAGATAATGTAAAGTTGAAGCATGAGTATCAGAAGCAGGTTTAGATCACAATTTCCTGGCTTCCGGTGGTTTTTACCAAGGTCAGCATTTTAATGTATTAGAAAGATGTCGGTTTTCTTTTCTTTTCTCCAGAGAGTAGTTATGGCATGAAAGGGAGAAGGGGGGAAGGAATCACTAGATCATGGTGAGCCTTTCTAAGCATTAGATGGTGGGCTCTCCCATTGATGGCGATATTTCTGTCCATTGCAAAACGGTATATTTAACGCTTTGCTTTACTTCTAGGGCCTGTAGAGAATGACCGCAGGTTACTTTATCTGTGAGTAATATCTTGTCTTCACAGAAAACATGAATTGTTTCAGCTGGTGAACCAACAGAAAGAATAAAAGCCTCAGAGCACTAACGGAGTAATTATTTCCTCTACCACATTACAACTTCATCTCCTGGTGACAGCATATTTCCACTGCTCCCTGACTGTGGTTAATTAGGTAGAAAGGGCATTCACAAAATAATAACATTGTTCCAAGAACATGAAATTTTCGAGTCATCCTTGGACTCCACTTTTTGTTTCCTCCTCCACTAGCTATGTCTGCCCATTTGCTTATCAGTCTCTCCAGAACATCAGATCTTTATGGTGATCCCATCTCTTACTCATGCTTTACTCACCTCCCAACATGGCTATTACTGCTTTTCAATTTAGGCTTCCTAAATCCCTGATTTGAATTTGAGGTAATTTAGAGTGCAGATGTGGATGAAAGTTAATGTAACATTAATCCACAGCAAGTATATGCAAGGGTATAAAACATGCTGTGTATTCAAAAAACAACACACCATGTTTCAGGCTTTACTGCATTCATTTATTACTAGTTGCATTGTTAAGCAGTAAATTTGGATTTGCATACAGCGAACAGATTGCCACATTTTGTTCCAAGACTGCAAATTTGTGCCATTTCAGCAAATTTTAGCTTGGTATACCTTTAGTGAAGCAATAGCAATACAGTTGTGGCAGCACACAGCTCAGTTCAGTTGGCACCTGAGAAGGGAAAGGCTTGCAGCTGGACTCCTATTCTTGCCTGTAAGTCTGTCAATCCACAAGACAGCTCAGGTATGTCTCCACGAGTTGCAATCACATACATAAAATGCTGCAGAGAGAGCGCATCTGTCATGTGCCAAACACAAGATGTAGGGTCTGTACCTGTTCCTTCTGTTTGTGCAACTCTTAGAACACTTGATATTTTTCAAGTTGCATAATCTTAATCCAAGGGATGCTCCTACTGGAAAATGCTCTTCTATAATCCTGCATTCTTGTTCTCTCATTAGTAGAGAAAAACAGCTAGGACCTCTCCTCTGATTTGCACTTAAAACCACAGCCTATGCTACCCTCACCTTTCATGCAATGTGTGCAACAAGCACAGATGGGGAAGCTTGCCAGATGTTAGAGCCACCAAAGGATGAAGTCCAAACATGGAAGTACTTTTCTATAGTAGTAGGCATAACTACAGCGTAAGTCATATTTAATCACTATTCCATTCACTCGCTGTGCACCTTCGAGCACCTCTACATAGGATAAGGTGTACAGACTTGCTATGGTCGTAAACTCCTGTACTTCAGGCAGAAATTCCTGGTGCTGTCTCCTCAGCCACCTGTGATAGTCCTTATATACTCTGTCAACTTAAGTCAAATACTACAATTGCATATCTGCCATTTTAGGCTATTTTAGCACCTAAATCATTTGGTAGTAAGCATTTAAATTTCCTACTTAGTCTAGGACTCAGAGCAAAGACTGACTGCAAGAAAAGACTATGTTCCCCGACACCTCTTCTGACAGAGCTCTATTGGAACTTATCTATTGCTCTTTAAAAATGACACAGTTCAGGCTGAGAGTTTAAGGATGGCTTGTGGTAAAGCTTTACCAAGTGTGTGTGCCCACTTATACTCTCCCCTTCCTTCTCACAGCATTTATACTTTGGTCAAATGTCAAGGTATTCTGGGTTTCTCATGTCTCTTTCGCATGAGAAAAAGAAATTAAAGAAAGCAAAAAAAAACCCTTTAAGATTCTAACATGGGAAAACAGTATTTTCTTCATATCTTAATATAAGAGATGAGATGTCAATCTCTTCAAAGCCAAAATTTTGAAAACCAAAGAACCTATCCTGAGGCAAACACCTGTCTAAATCAGTCATTTCAAAACAGCTGAAGTTTGTCACAGTTTAAAGATCCTGTTTTCAGACACTTTTACTAGAGGTAAGTGTTGCGTGGCCCCACCACAGATGACACTTATCTCTACCTACAATCATTTCTAACATTTGCATACAAACTAGTCGTGCTGAACTTAGGTATTGCCAGCAGCTGCTGAGAAATGTGTTATTTACTTTGCTGCCAAAGTAGTCCTCTTGAGCAACCATGCAGCTAGTATACCATGGATACCCTGTAAAAGTCATATAAAGTGGAAAATAAAAAAATCCCCAAATGGGAAGGAATCCCAAACTAGGAACATCAATGACCTGCATTTAGGACAAAATTAAGAACGGCTGTGTAAGAAATAAGGTTAAAGTTTGAACAACAAATGACAAACAGGAAGAGGCCTGTTTGTCTGAACTTCTTCAACAATAAAATGCTGCAAACAGGAAAGGCTTTTGCAATACAATGCCTTCATGTCGATAGTTTTCGGATTCTCAGAACTAAAAATTTCCTTGGATTGTTTCACTGGTATTCCTAGTCACAGCTAAACATAAGAGATCGTTAAGAATTAATCTGATAAATAGAACAGCTCTGGATGAATTGGAAATGTGTGAATATCACAAAACCAGCATTATTTATTATAAAGTCCTATAAATATTGAAAACTAGAACATAATTACTCAATATAAAAAGTTATCAGATGACTCTTTGCATATTTTGAACATGTATACACCCAACAGTCAAAAAGCAAGACTACTTAGGAATTTCCCTCCCCCCGGTCTGGGAACGGCACCTTTGACACCCAGAAATTAGTTGCTTTGATGCTATGTTTGGAGCAGTATCCACATTTAAAGTTAACAGAAACAGATTTTGCCTCTCCTGAAAACTCCTGCACAGTTTAAGGCTTCTATGTGTGCACTGTGTGGTCATCATCATACAGGTCTGTACTCCTCTGAACCTGCCTGGTTTACAGCCAGGGGTATTTCTTTGGCTTAAATTGGAGAAATCTATTTTTCCTGGCTCCAGATAAGAAAATGAGTTTTGGACGAGTACTTCTGATGGTGATTTAGATATGCAGGTACATGTGACACAATACAAAGGTAATAACCAATAATCACTTTCTTTCTAAATGCAGGGTAATCTGGATCTACAAAACAAGTTTTTCAAACAAGAACAACAACAGTTACATACCATTTAGTGTGGTTTATTGCCAGCTTAGCTCATTCTGATCACACACCCTTACCAGAACAACAACAAATACCACTGACAGACAGCTCTCTCAAATGCAATCAATATGTTGTCTGCTCTAAACACACCTGTCAGGCACTACTAAAATAAGGTACTAGATTACTGAAAGTTTACAAAATTATAGGATAAATGCTAATGGCAAGTATTACTGAAGGTAATCTAGTCTTTCTTAACAGTGAGTGTAATCTAATTTAGTTGTTTTCATCAACCTTTAGAATACTGGGACATGCAACTTCCTTATCTGCAGACTCCTAAGAAACTAAATGTTCACTGAGCTGATTGAGCAACCTTGTGTTCCATGCAACAACAGAAGCAGAGCCTTTAGAATTCTTTTCTCACAATACTGGAAAAGGTTGGGGAAAGATTTACCTAAGACCTGGATCTCTAAAAATGAATACATATGATATTTTAGACAGAGCAGTCCAGGTTCTCAAATCCCACATCTGTGCCTTCTCAGCAGCTTGTCAGACATCACTACAATTATGGTCCCTGCCTTTATTCATACCTTAACAATAAAAATATTGATAGATTATTGGAGGAATTACAAGTTTAGCAAACAAAAGTTGAATGTAACTTAGGCCAAAGGTCACATTTTTAGTATGCGAGTATAGCTATCACAAAATGACAGGAATTGTTCAGACATCAAGAAATGAAAACACTTTTGTAAACATATCCTAGAGCCACCATGTTCTTTATTCTTGTAAGAGTGGTCTTATTGCTATTGCTAGATTTATCATTTTTAAGTTTAATTAAACAGGTCTATCAAACAAAAAATTAGAAGCCTTTTCAGCTTCATGGTTTAAAAAAAGCTTCCCTCAAACTCAGATATACAACAGACACCCTTTCAAGAGTTACACCAGGAGTGTCAGTACTGACCTGACATTAATAAGTACATGTCATCTGGAGTTAGTTACATTATGATCATTAATACTGTACATGATGGTCCATTTGCAGGAGTCGAAGGGGTGTCCACTAAGAGACAGGCTATCCAACGTGCAAGAGGAGACTCAATGACACTTTCCCATCTTTTCCTGCCAGAAGTTCTTCCATGCTCTGCTGTTTGGTAGTAGGGCATAGGGGGCACTCTGCAGTTGCTACTGTACAAACAGAATGCTGAAGGCCATCACGACACAGCACACAGCCACGTAAGGACTCTTCCGTTCACCTGAGATGAGGGAAAAAATCCAAACCAAATCAAAATTTGAGCATGACTAAACAGATCTAGGCTGCTCATAGCCTAACATGGTGATTATCCCCTTGCACATGCAAATTAATATTCAACATTTCTAGCTGGAGAAATGCTATTACAACTACAGTTCTGTATTGAGGAAGAACATGCTGGGAGTCAGAAAACTAAGATGTAGGATAGGATATGTTGCTACTTAAAGACAAGAGTTGGAGCTGTTTACTTTAAGCAAAGGTCAATGCAAGGACTTCTATCTTACTATGAACCATCTTTTCTGAGATACAGTTTCTAGGAAAACATAACCCACCTCGCCAAAAAACCCCAGTATATTGCTGCTATCTCTTAGTGCCAAAGAGAGCCAAGAGGCAGGCATTGGAAAGCTGATCAAGACATCAAATCTTTTACTGGCTCTGTTCCCCGTTCTGGCTAAGCACTATCAGTGCTCAAAAGCTGTTCTGTGTCAGCTGAGGTGCACCTCGATGCTGTCTGGCCATGACAGCTGCTATATGCAGCGTGCACCTTCTATGCATGGTATCATGTCGGAGTCAGCTAACTGGTTGGGGAGCTTACAGCAGCCCAGACATGGCCAGATGCCTGTCTTTTTTTTTTTTTTTAAGAGAGACACAACATTCTTAGCATGTGGAGAAGGTCTGGTCCACAGATTTTCAGGTTAGTGATAAAAATGGTCAACAGACAACAGAAATTGCACAGACACCTATGCCTCTTTCCAATTAGCGTTAGTTTTCCAGGGCTAACTACGGATGAAAGTTAAGTTTACTCCATTAACAGTCTTACATTACAGACATGTCTTGTTCACTGAACAAACTATTAAAAAAAAAAAAGAATTGTAGGTAGGGAACCATAACACAATCAGGGGAACATTACTAATGTTAATCAGACTGCTACCTATTTACATGGGCACTTCCTCCATTTAATTAGCCAGGCATTTTTACTCTTCTACTTAAGCATTACTCTTCATGAATTCACTGACTTCTCTCTGGAGAGCAGAGAGCTCCCTACACAGGATGGTATTTCCAGTCTACAAAACTGTCAGGAAGTGTTAACACAGTAATGACTCTTTAAAGTGAGAAGATTCCTGGTTTTATGCATTCTGAAGCATAAAGACAGAGCTGGAGCTGTTTGCTTTAAACAAATAAAGTTTGATTTCCTTTTGCTGTGCAAGGTCTTTTGTCTTACTATAAACCATCTCTTCTGAGATGCAGTTTTCAGAGAAACATTAAAGAAAAAAAAACTGTCAAGGCTCCCAAGTCTAGCATTAAGGTGTAATTTTCAGAAAAAAAAGTCTCTTTTACCAGCAGGACCTTCAAATACACCAGGAACAAACTTTCCACAGCAAAAGAAAAATAAAACACTTGTAGTGACGCCTCCCATAAGCAGGAGTGCCTGCCACAGTGACATTACAAGATGTTGTCATAATCTGGCATATATTTAATTAAACTTCAAATAACTGAATGAATTTATGTCTGCAGTTTCACATCTGTTTAAAATAAATTTTTGAGGAAGTCCACCTCCTACAGTTTAGAGTATTACAATTTTCATATGGGTTATACTTTCCTGCTCTTAATCTTCTTAAAAGAGAAATCACCATGTGGCAGGATTAAACATAATTTTGCACAACTTTGTAAATATGTAACTGCTTGCTGGTTATTAAAATCTTATGCACATGTGAAAAGGTTGTTTAAACATACTGGGCAAGTTAAATGTAAAGGAAGCCAGTAGGCATTTTCATTTTTAAAAGCCCACACTTTCTACATGCCTTTGTGATCAACACAAAATGACAGGAATCATCTTCAAAGTCCATTTCCCACACTGAGGATATGGTACTGTTAGGTAAGCAAACATACAGAGTGAACTTTAAGATGCTACTACCTTCTCATTTGTCAGCATAAAAGAAAGTCAAATCGGACCACTCTAGATGTAAGTTGAAAAGAAATTAGTGTTTTACATGAAAAAGAGAAAAAGAAGCATTTCAGTACAGGGCACAAGAGTGCATGCATTACCTTGGATGCAGCAAATGCAAACATGTTAATGTTACTACATGATGGGAAAGCAAGACTATATTGCAGATGACCTGTAGTTCTTAACTTCATCAAGTTGACAGGGACCTCATAAAACCTCTTGTGTACTCCTTTAAATAGTTTTTTAAACTGTTCGCTGTGCTTAGCTAATAGAAAAAAAATGCTTGTAGTTAATAACTAAAAAGAAGATGATAAGTTAAGGTAAGGTGTTCTCTTCAATCTTGAACAAACCCTAATGCAGCTGCATTTTTACATTTGTTTTTGCCAGTACTGCTAAAAATTAATTTCTGACAGCTGCCAGCTTGCCAGTATCTTTCAATTACAGTACTAAAATTGGTTCTGCTATATCTATTATCTAAATATATTTTTAACAACAGGGCTTCACAAAAAACTGGTTTTTGTGTCAATGCTTTTTGACATACTGAAAAATACATGTCATGTCCCTTTCAAAGCCTGAGAATGCAGAAAACGGAATCATAATTTTTTGCTTTAGGTCCAATGACAAGTAGGAAGATCTAGAATTACAAGTTCAATGTTCCCACTCTGCATTAACAATGCAACTTGAAGAACACTGTTTTGATGATTGTTAATTTTTTTAAAATCTTGGACATAATGCTAAGGCTGAACTTCTGTTGCATATTCCCATTTTATTCTCAAAATAAATTCAGAATAAGGATTAAAATAAATATAAATACCAATGTAATGGGAAAATGTCTAAAATCAGATAGAGCTGATCAGCCTGCAAATAGATGCCACTTGACACCAACAGCTTTGCGTAATTCAAAAGTGCACAGAAGCTAACTAAAGAAAGGAGAGAAAAAAGATGTTTGTGATTAAACAGAGACTTACTGCATTATGAATTCCATGTTGCTTTATTACCATAAGGTAAATATCTGGCTTTTGTCAGTAGTCCATTAGAATTTCAAATATATGGCAGTTTATATGGAATTCTTGATTTCTTTGTATGTTAATAAGAAGTGTGCCTTTGCTTATCTCACGTAGTAAAAAGTGCAAAAGATTTTTGCAAATACAACACCACATCTATGAATTGACATCACAAAATTCAGGCTTCCATGATGCTAAGTAAGACAGTCAAAACCTGCATTTTTTAAGATGATGTATGAGTATGGGTTTCACTGCTACATCGAAACATTATCCTAATAAATCATGCAGTCTAGAAAAAGCACTGGTCTTAAAAGATTTCAAAGAAAAAAAATTACCAATCCTGGCGCATTTCCAGAATATTCCCAATAGTCTGTAAAGATAAAATAAATTGATTAGGCTCTTGGTTCAATGAAATAATTTAACTCAACTGATTTTCTTCCTTCTATGCTAAAATAATCCACATTAACAGTAGTTTGTCAACTTGACACTCTTCTCAATGTCAGAAAACACCAGATACCTGCACAGAGGGGTACAGGCTGTGAACTAAACAAGCAGCAAAGTTCTTTCCAAGTCTAGGAAGTTTTTTTACCTGCAAGAAGAACAAAGATGAAGTCTTGTGTTCCAAATCTAAAGATTTCATCGTAATTCTACATTTTACATCAAAGTATCCCAGACAGAAAATTTTGTAAAGAAAAAAACCAGAATTAAAAAAATACTGGAGTAGGAAATACCAACAGGTCTCCATGTCTTGGTATGTGGGAAACTTTTGATGTTAAGATTTTGAAGCAAATTTTCCTGGAGGTATGAGAGATGACAAACCTGAGTACTTCAAATTTAATGCCTTCTAGTGTCTCTTTTGTATTTCCCTAAATAACAATAGATAAAAATGCCTTTTCTAGGAGAGCATACTCATAGATGTAATCTGATATAGAATATTTGTGTTGAAATAAATAACAAAACAATTCTTCAGGTTTGTTTTCACTCTTTTACCAAGGTTTACCTTGCTTATGTCCCTCTAATGCTGCTTGCCCAGGATGTTAATTCTCACAAGTGAAATAACAAAGGAGAAAAGCAGGATTCAACTATCCAGAGCACATCCAAAGGGATGTATAAGTATGTATGCCACAAATGCATAATTTCTCTGTGTAACTAAAATAATCTCATACTGACTGCTCAAGAGGAACAAGAGCAGGCACTGCTTTAGAATCTGAGGAGGAAGAAGGAAAGAATACTGAAGCATCCTGAACTAGAAGTCAGCTTTCAGCCTTTCAAATGTTGGTGAAAACTGTATTGAAAGCTTGTCTACAGGAAAGTCTCCTTCATAGTATGACTGGTTGCAATGCAATAAACACACCTGGATTCAACTATATTGCTGAATATTTATATTGTTGAATATTTAGTCCATAGACTTATGGATTAAAAAAAAACCCTAATTAATTTTTCCTCCTTCTCCTGATATGTTTATCAGCAGTAACTTCAGCCTATATTATTTGTTGGGTTGATTCTACTACCTGCTGTGATGGCAGTTCTCCAAGTGCTTTCCCACAGTGCTCTAAACCCATACCCACAACGGTTTGATTATGTGTCTTCCCCCTTTCTTGGGCTCTGGCAATTGCCTATTTTTTTCCTGCTTACATGCAGAGAGGTAGTTTTGGGCCACTTGCTCCTGCATATTTTAGCAGTCAACATATCCTCCACTTTTTAAAAAATAATTTCTGCACTATTTCATACTTTATGGCCTCTTTTATGGTCTTAAGTTTTCTTCAGCATCTCTCCCTCCTTCCATTTAGCAGCCTCCCCTTTATTTCTGAAACAAAGGTCCAGTGTTGGGCAGGTGAGTACCAAGTGTTCCAAGAGGCAGCAAGGGACTGAGGTTTTCAAAATCAAAGTGAAATGCTTTTTGATCAATGAACCTCTTGCTGACCGATTTATCGTGAACAGTATTCCAGCATTTTCATTTTTAGAAAACAGGCTTTTTCATTTGTGCTTTAGATCATTTCACCTCAAGCCAAAAGTATTTCTGTATAGTCAAAGCTCATTTTTTTCTGCTTTTATATAGCTCCACAATCAGAAGTAATAACCCCTGTATGTAGACCATCACGCTTTTCCAGGCTATAAGGTCATACAGTAAAGTAACCTGAAGACATCTATGCTCTTTTTGAAGATGCATGCAGGTAAAAAGGCATTCATGTGTAAATCTTATAGAGCAAAACACACAGCCCAATGGTACTATTTGGATGGCACTTAAGACTCTTGAAATGGTTGTACACTCTGTACGAGTAGTATTTACAGCTTACATGCTGCAAAATCAACACAAAAACTTCCACAGCCCAACATTTCATGTTGTCATCTCTCAAAAATTTGCCCAGGAACTCATAGAAATAAAACATTAGTGTCCTTTTCATATGCATACATGAAGAATCTTACCTAGGAAAAAGAATATTAACTCATTCAGGCTATAAATCTGTTGAATTTGCCTCATAATCTCAGCAGGGGTATTTCTTTGCCTTCTCGGGGTTTTTTCAACCGTATGTAACAACATAAAGTTATAATTGAAATAGTATACATTGTTTCTAGCCCTAGAAAACTCTCCTCTTGGTTAAAATATGAATTTTCCATTCTGCTGTGGGAGGTACAAAACTGTTAGAATATGGATTTCATCAGCTACCCTTACTACAGTTAATAATTTATGAACTTAGTCACTACCGACATGAGGACTGACAAGCCTTCCAACAGATGACAACACTACCTTTTTTAAGAGGCTTGTGCTGCTGTTGGAACAGCTCAGTACATCTGTTTGGCCGCCCAGTTTGCCACTTAGCAAAAGCAAATTGAAATCTGCAGCTCCTAAACAGCTATAATCACAGCCTCTGGATGAACTGGGGAGATCACATTGGAAGAAAAGCCTGTGCAGACCTTCTGGTCTCCTGAATTTTTCCATTACTGTTCATCTCAGGTCCACAACATACACCTCTTCAAGTCAAAACCTGTTTTATTATTACAGAAATGATGTTGCCTTGAATGAACCTGCTCCAAAATAATTCCTCCTGAAGCAACTACTCAAAGTAATTGCACTGTTCCTTATTCTCCCCTTCATGTTCATCTTCATCCTTGTTTTGATGCAGGTGAAACATGTCAGTCTGGTTTGCATACCTGCTGTTTTCTGGCAGCCACAAGTCAAATGTGCACAAGCTGCTGCATATTCCTGGCTTTCAGTGTTAATGTTAAAACCACTGATCATGAAAGTAGAACTGGTTATCTGGAGGACAAAAAATGCAAAGAAACAAAACCCAATAAGATGAGAAAGAGTTAGGGGGGCTTCAGATTTTGGCTGTGAGACTGGGAATGCTGCAAAATGCAGCTGCCATGTGTTAACCAGGACAATCCCACTGCCACGGCAGTAGAGAGTTTGAGAGATACCCCACTGCAATGCTTATGGCAAGTCAAAGGAAATCTCTGCTGCATATAAGCTAACACATCTTTCTGGTTAGCAGGGAGGAGAGAATTATGTTGCGGTATGCACTCTCCTCTAGTTAGCACGAAACAGTAAATCTCCACTTGCTCTCCCAACCTTAAATGCCTTTGTTCATGACAAAGCACATGGAAACACTCAAGATATGTCAGGGAAAATGAAGGTTTAAAGTTCTGTTGGTTTGGTAGGAAAAGACACATTTTGGCAGAAGTCAACAGGATGAAATACAGTGTTATGAGGATAGATGACATCACTTTGCAACACAGTATCTCAACCAACAGAAACATGTTTCTTTACTTACTATCAACAGATTTAAATCTTCACCAAAGTTACTGCTCACTTAGTCAGAAGTATAGTAACTATCAACATTTCTCCTCTCTGTCACTTTAATATTTTATTGCTGCTTTTTTATGCTATTAATTTGAAGCAGGAATAATGAAGAAAGATCATCTCTGTGGTAAAATGAAATATCACTAGAATTTATTTTATCCAGTATGTCTAGACATTTCCATTTAAGCATGGAATATGTTAGTGAAGAGGGACAGGAGTTTAACAGCATATGAGCTCCATGTAAACATCTACTATTCAGGAAACAAATTGCATTGCGTCCAGGCCAACGTTTTCTTCTCCAGTACAAAGTAGCCTACATATATATATGTAAAACAAAAATAAAATAGTATGTCCAACATCTATATAAATACAAGCATATAGATCAAACGCCCAACTCCTCCACTGTGTCAGCACCCTTTGAAAACATTTTATGAAGAGACTTCTATTGTACTCCAGACAGATTTGCCTCAAGAATAAACAGAGTAGGTTCAGATTAAAGGAAATACTCCTTGCCAAGAACAGCACTAAAATTTTAATCAGTAAATAAATATTCTCGCTTCTTACTGTGTATATCTCATTGACTATTGTGTTATCTTCCACTTCGCAGACACTCAAATTCCCCTCGCCCCCCCTGGTCCTTCATGAAGTCATCCTTTCTTTCCATCTTCACTTTTATCAAAAGAAATCTCTCATGTCAGTGGGAATCTCATGGTTTCACATGAAAGGACACAAGCGTTTTCATGTTAGAACTGCAAATTGAAAAAAAAGCTAGCGTACTCTAGGTACCTTACACTGCTAAAAAAAAATTTGTGTGACAAAATAGCAATTGCAGAGATTAATTACAAAAAAGGTTTTCAGAAGACAAACACTCAAGGTTCTTGGTGACAAGGGTCTACTTAAAACCTAACACTTTTTCTGAAAATTAAATGTATAAGTGACAGAAGATACTTAGGGAAAAAGCATTTTCTTTAACAGTAAGTAATCTAATGGAGAAAGTGGACAAGTCAAACACCTAGTGCCCAAAAGCCTGTCTATTTTTTTCCACCTAGAACATTACCAGCTAGAATTACCTCCTACTTCTATAAATATTCTATCCTTTGTATTAACCTTAGTTGACAGTATTACTGAAATACTATGGATGGCCTCAGTGGTTTCTAGGTCAAAATTGCCCAACCATTACTTTAAAACTACAGCATTTAAACCACAGTTCTGCATACTGCTGATAGCACCCAACATTCAGTCATATTCTTTATAGCACAAAGAAAACTGGCAAGTGAAAAGGTGAACAGGTATTAACAGCACAAGTGAGGCACAGGTAAGACTCTGTGGCTATCCTCATTTCCCACCATCCCCAAAATTGTGTCGCAGAGCAGAGAAGAGCTGTTTTGCGCCACTATTGGCCCTGCAATAATTGCCCAGGTGGCCAAGAAGGCCAACAGCATCCTGGCCTGTATCAGAAACAGTGTGGCCAGCAGAACTAGAGAAGTGATCATCCCTTTATACTTTGCGCTGGTGAGGCTGCACCTCGAATCCTGTGTTCAGTTTTGGGCCTGTCACTACAAGCAGGACATTGAGCTGCTGGAGCATGTCCAGAGAAGGGCAACAAAGCTGGTGAAGGGCCTGGAGAACAAGTCTTATGAGGAGCAGCTAAGGGAGCTGGGGTTGTTTAGTCTGGAGAAGAGGAGGCTGAGGGGGGACCTGATCGCCCTCTACAACTACCTGAAAGGAGGTTGTAGCCAGGTGGGGGTTGGTCTCTTCTCCCCGGTAACTAGTGATAGGACATGGGGAAACGGTCTCAACTTGCACCGGGGGAGGTTCAGGTTGGATATTAGGAAGAACTTCTTCACTGTAAGAGTCGTTAGGCAT